AAATTTTAAAAGGATGTTGCATTTTTTGACTAATCAGGATACAAGTCTAATTTAAGATGGCAAAGTGTAAATATAGGTTAAGGTTTAGATGGGGGTTTGTAAAAAAAAAACTGGCAGGAAGCCAGTATCGACAGGCAGAAATTACAAACAAAATGATAAAATTTATTAAGACCTACAAAGGACAAGAAATTGTGGAGAGCCATGATCGCCAACATCCCGAAGGGACATAATGCATAGAAGAAGAATCTTTTTTGTTCCTATTCCTTCCTTTTACCCATCTAGTATACTCATTCTTTTCTTTCTTTCATTCAATCTTTTTCTTTTTCTTTCTTTGGCACCTCTAGAATATGCTTTCCTTTTTCTTTATATCTTTCTTTCTTTCAATCTTTTTCTTTTAATCTTTTCTTCTTTTCCTTTCTTTCTTTTTCTCTTCTTGCATACGTTTTATTCTATTTTTTCATTCAATCTTTTCTTTTTCTCTTGATCTTCTACTATGATTTTCTTTTTATTTCTTCCATTCAATCTTTTTCTTTTTTATTTTGTTCTTCCTGTACATGATTTTACTTACTTTTTCTTTCTCTTGCTCATCTAGTATACACCTTTGTTTTTCTTTCTTTCATTCAATCTTTTTCTTTATTTTTTTCTTCTAGCATATGCTTTACTTTTTCTTTTTTCATTCAATCTTCTTTTTTCTGTTCTCTCTTTTCTTTCATTCAGACTTTTTCTCTGTTTATCACTTCTAGCATACATCTTTCTTTTTCATTCAATTTTTTTTCTTTTTTTCTGTTCTCTCTTTTCTTTCATTCAGACTTTTTTCTTTTTATCTTTTTTCTTTCTTTTTTTCATTCAATTTTTTTTTTTTTTTCTGTTCTCTTTTTCTTTCTTCAGTTTTTCTCTGTTTATCACTTCTAGCATATCTTTCAATTTTTTTTTTTTTTCATTTTTTCTTTCATTCAATTTTTTTTTATCACTTCTTACATCTTTCTTTTTCAATTTTTTTTTCTTTTTTCTGTTCTCTTTTTTCTTTCATTCAGACTTTTTCTCTGTTTATCACTTCTAGCATACATCTTTCTTTTTCATTCAATTTTTTTTCTTTTTTCTGTTCTCTTTTTCTTTCATTCAGACTTTTCTCTGTTTATCACTTCTAGCATACATCTTTCTTTTTCATTCAATTTTTTTCTTTTTTTCTGTTCTCTTTTTTCTTTCATTCAGACTTTTTCTCTGTTTATCACTTCTAGCATACATCTTTCTTTTTCATTCAATTTTTTTTCTTTTTTTCTGTTCTCTTTTTTCTTTCATTCAGACTTTTTCTCTGTTTATCACTTCTAGCATACATCTTTCTTTTTCATTCAATTTTTTTTCTTTTTTTCTGTTCTCTTTTTTCTTTCATTCAGACTTTTTCTCTGTTTATCACTTCTAGCATACATCTTTCTTTTTCATTCAATTTTTTTTCTTTTTTTCTGTTCTCTCTTTTCTTTCATTCAGACTTTTTCTCTGTTTATCACTTCTAGCATACATCTTTCTTTTTCATTCAATTTTTTTTCTTTTTTTCTGTTCTCTCTTTTCTTTCATTCAGACTTTTTCTCTGTTTATCACTTCTATCATACATCTTTTTTTTCATTCAATTTTTTTTCTTTTTCTGTTCTCTTTTTCTTTCATTCAGACTTTTTCTGTTTTATCACTTCTAGCATTTTTCTTTTTCATTCAATTTTTTTTCTTTTTTTTTCTCTTTTTTTTTCATTCAGACTTTTCTCTGTTTATCACTTCTAGCATACATCTTTCTTTTCATTCAATTTTTTTCTTTTTTTCTGTTCTCTTTTTTCTTTCATTCAGACTTTTCTCTGTTTATCACTTCTAGCATACATCTTTCTTTTTTTCATTCAATTTTTTTCTTTTTTTCTGTTCTCTCTTTTCTTTCATTCAGACTTTTTCTGTTTATCACTTCTAGCATACATCTTTCTTTTTTCATTCAATTTTTTTTTTTTTTTTCTGTTCTCTTTTTTCTTCATTCTGACTTTTCTCTGTTTATCACTTCTAGCATACATCTTTCTTTTTTTCATTCAATTTTTTTTCTTTTTTTCTGTTCTCTTTTTTTTTTCATTCAGACTTTTTCTCTGTTTATCACTTCTAGCATACATCTTTTCTTTTTTCATTCAATTTTTTTTTTTTTTCTGTTCTCTCTTTTCTTTCATTCAGACTTTTTCTCTGTTTATCACTTCTAGCATACATCTTTCTTTTTTTCATTCAATTTTTTTTTTTTTTTTTCTGTTCTCTCTTTCTTTCATTCAGACTTTTTCTCTGTTTATCACTTCTATCATACATCTTTCTTTTTCATTCAATTTTTTTTCTTTTTTTCTGTTCTCTCTTTTCTTTCATTCAATCGTTTTCTTTCTTTCTGTCAATTGTTTTCTTTTTCCTTCCTTTATTTTGCTCATCTATTAAACACTTTCTTTTGCTTTCTTTCATTCAATCTTTCTCTTTCTTTCTTTTGCTCTCCTAGTATATGCTTTTCTTTTTCTTTCTTTCATTGAATCCCTTTCTTTCTTTCTTTCTTTCTTTCTTTCTCTTAATATTGCTTCTCCCTTTCTTTTCTGCTGCTCATCTCATACACACTCTCTCTTTTCCTCTCTCCTTCTCTCCCTATCATCAGTCAGTCCTTATACATTCTCTGTTTACCCATTACACTTTTTACTCATCTTTTAGAAATACAAAGATGGCTGCTAATCGAGGAACCTGAAAGATTTAGTGCAGATATTTCACATTTAATCCATTTCTCTATTTTCCTTAATCTTTGCCTTTGTCAATGTTTTACAACTTTGCTTATACATTAATCCTAAGAAAACGATATCAAGATTATGATCGTTCCTGTCCTACCCGACCCTGACAACCACCCACTACCAGCCTACTTACCCAACCTTTTCAGAGAAAAAGAAAATATTAAGGAAAAGGATAATTAGCTTTAAAAAAAAAATATGACATTCATTCTTTTCTTCAAGAAACATTAATAAATGGTTATTATAAGCTCGGCACCTTATCCTGGTTAATATTTTCATCTCACAGGCCAGTTCCTGCTAAGTTTGAACCTGACTAGGTGCCCTCTAAATGTGCTCTTATACCAGATCACAACTATGCTTATTATCTATAATAATGTAATTTTTTCTATCATCATCATCATCATTATCATCCCAACCACCACCACTGTCATCATCATCATCATCATCATTATCGTTGTTGCCGTTGACATCATCATCGTCATCATTGTTGCCATTGACATCATCATCATCATCATCATTCCAACCACCACCACCACCACCAACAACAACAACAACAACAACCACTGTCATCATCATCATCATCATCATCATCGTCATCATTATCGTTGTTGCCGTTGTCATTGTAATCATCATCATCATCGTCATCCCAACTACCACCACTGTTACCACCATCATCATCATTATCACCATCATCATCACAGTCTTCATTGCTATTGTCATCATCATCATCATCATCATCATCAGTCCCATGAGTGGGTGTGGTCATAGGGTCACTACACAACTGATCACCTCACTAGTTCTCTCCATATATCTAGATAGGAAAACTAGAGAGGTATTTATACATGTATAGACTTTTAACTTTCTCGCCTGGAGTAATAAGATGCCTCACACATTTTATGTACAATCTGATTTCCAAGTTTTTTTTCACTGCTCTTTGCCCTGTCATACCTGAAACTGCTCTTCGATTTGCCAAACGTCTTATGAATTGAGTTGGATTTTTTCTAATTGATCTCTTTAGCTCTATGCTGAAATAACTTGCTTTGATTGTTCGATCTGTGTTTAGACAACAGATAACTAAATTTATGATACTGAACTATTTAGTGTAGCCTATCTTAATTCACCAAGACAAACCATATCCATTCTAACACCTCTGATAAAATGCAATCAAAAACAAGGCACAGGCCTGATATCACATCTGGAAATTATTATCATTGGGAAAAAAGTTCCTTTAAAATACCTGACACCTGGGGCAAGAAATAGGTAATGGCTTTGGTTGTCAGTCAAAAATTCAGCAAACAAGTTACATTCGAATGATATGACTGTGCACATTTTGGTAGAGACATCACAAAAATTGAACTTTATGCTAAATATAAAATTAAAAACCTAATTTCAAAAGTATTTGTGAGAGAGTTCTCTCTACCTTCCATCAGCATGGCTGACACTAACCTACAGGAAAGTGAATCATTTTCTTTTTCAGGCTAACGTTCTCAGCTGACATGAAGTGGAAAGACTATATTGAATCCATTGCTAGGTCAGCTGCTAAGAAAGTTGGTTCACTGTGTCGTGCAAGACAATTTTTCTCTCCAGAATCTATCTTACATATCTATAAGTCTACCATTCGTCCATACTTAGAATATTACTACCACATATGGTCTGGTGCTTCTCTTATTTATCTAGAGCTTGTTGATAAAATCCAAAGAATCAGCAATATTATCAGTCCTGATCTGCTGGCTCAGTCTCATTCACTCATCCACCACCATAAGATTGCCTCTCTATGACTTTTTCTAAAAATAAGTAATTGTTCAGATGAGCTCTTCACTATGGTACCTCGACAGGACTAAACTGCCATCAAGATCTTTTCAATTTACAGTTGAGCTGGATAGATGTAGCCATAAATTCTATGCTACATTTTCTTTTTTCAAACTTCTTACTTGTGGACACCCTTCCGGCAAAAATCTAAATGCATTGTCAATCGTTATCTACTGTCCTCCTGATTACTCTTTCCTCTTCCTGCTCATTATTAACGTTTCTGTTCTTAATTCTTGCACACCCTGTAGCCCCCCCCCCCACTTGTGCCTTAGTGGCATCACTGCTTTGCATGGGGTGATATCGATTAAAAAAAAAAAAGAAATATTTACAGTATGTATGCCAAAAGAGCTCTCCATGATACAGGGGCAAGAATTATTATTATTATCACCATTATTATTATTTTTCTTATTAACATCATCATCATCATCATCATCATCATCATTATTCTTATTCTTATCATCATCATCCTCATCATCATTATTCTTATTCTTATTATCATCATCAGCATTATTATTATTATCATCATCATCATCATTATTATTATTATCATCATCATCAACATTATTATTATTGTCATCATTATCATCATTATTATTATTATTATTCTCATTATCATCATCATCACCACCATCATCATCATCATTATTATTCTTATTATTATTATCATCATCATCATCATCATTATTATTATTATGATGATGATGATGATCATCATCATCATTATTATTTTTATCATCATCATCACCGTCATCATTATTATTATTATAATTATTAATATTGAGTTTTTTTCTTTGCTTGGTGCACTACCATTTGCCACCAAACCATAAACCAGAGACTTCAAGAAACAAGTTTTTTTCATTAGATGTAAACAGATCAAGTGCCATGCAATCAGGGAGAAAAATACGTAATTTTGGTCACTGCATATAGAGAAATCTATTCATGAAGCGAGATGTACCATGAGTGTGATTTTTGTAAATTATTATTATTATTATTATTATTGTTGTTGTTGTTGTTGTTGATGATGTTGTTGATGTTGTTGTTGTTACCACTTTTTTAATCTTTCTTTATTTTCTATTTTTTCTTCTTTCATCTTCTTTTTATTCATGCTTGAATTTCTTAATCATTTAAAAAAAAAAAGCAGCAAAAATTTATTTTTGGCAATCTAAACTAAAAATGGCTGAATTGTTCAAAGTGATTTATTTTCTGAATTTTGAAATCATTTTATAGAATGGAATCATTTTTGTTTTTTAATCTCTTTTTCACCTGACAAAGTGGTTCATGATCAATTCATTTATCTCCCTTTTATGAGTCATTCTTTTTAGCAAGAAATAATATCAGTTAAAAAAAAAATTGTTTTTATAAACCTTCTGCTTGCTCAACCCCAAATCAGCTTCCTGAAATTTTTCATTAACAACTCTTGAATTGTCATTTCCATTTATTAAACACTAAGTCTAACAGCTTTTCACGCACAAGACAAAAGACTCCTCCTCTTTCTGACAGAAATGTAAATGATCGAGCTATCTAAATGCAATTTATTCCTAATTAATAAAACTGATCCATCTATCAGTAAATGATTTCTCCTTCATTAGAGTTAACTTTCAAAAATCTCTCTCCATCTTAATAATGAAAATTACAGAAGCAAATCTCTTACATCGTTGCTTATTTTTCATAGTTTTATAATTCTTACTCTCCTTTTTCTTCTAAGTAGTTATATCTGATTTGAACAAAATCCAGACAGTTCAAATTTTCTGTTAATAATGGCTGTAAATCTGCATCAAAATGCCCTGATAATGCAAACCACCAATCAACATTAATCAAACTACTGTTGATTTCCCAATATGCTGGGAATGATTGCAAAAGTTTTTCTCCTCCTCCTCTTATAGTTGGAAGGACACAAAAATGCTTGCTGGGATATTTTTCTTAGCTAATAACATGGGACGGCTTGTGTTTTGACATGACTTAGTCCAGATCTGCTGTTTCAGGTGGTTTAGGCTGACATTGAGGAACCCGTATGAGGGAGGTCGACAAGCCTGACTCCATGTATGTGGGGTCTATAGGAAATTTTTGCTCAAGCCTATGGTCTTGGATTCACCTCAGATAAAAACGTCCTTGGTCCACATTCTACTTTGTTGGAAGGTGAGTTAAATAACCTCTGAACAGACCTGCCTTAATTACTAGACAGACCTACTGCATTCACTTGTCCGACCTTGCTTTTGTGTTCAAAAACCAACACATAGTTTGTGAATTCTTTTGCCTTCTTACCTGTATGATTTGCTTTAACTATATTGTTTGCTCGCTTGCATAATTGTTGCTGTTTCATCCTTTTTGATCTTTTTCCTTTTCCTTGCAAACTTTATTAATTCTGTTTGTGTTATATATCTTGCATTTTGATAATGGCTTCTAACTCATCACATTTCAAACTACCAACCAACACAGGTCACCAGGACAAGTGTGTACAGCCCACAAACCATGCGACTGTTGGAGGTTAAGCTTAGGTCCTAGGCAGAACTTTGTGACACTTGCTATCTTATCATTTGCTTTTTTCTACCTACATTATGTTGCAAATTAAACTAGCACAACTGCCTAATTAAAGGATGAAAAAAAATGTTTGTGAATTTTGATGGCATTCTTGAGTCTTTTTTGGTTCAAATCTGTGAATTTGTTTCGCTCAAGTAAAGTATCAAAGAAAACACTAAATAAAGTCACTATTTTTTTTATCTATAATGTTGTATGTGTTAAAATTATTCAATGTTTTAACAAGAAAAATCTTAAGTTGATGTCGAAAATCATGGCAAAACATTGTTCATTTATTTAAGATGGTATGATCTATTATGACATGTCTCTAATTTAGATTTAGATACATTTTATTTGTTTTCAATTTTTTGAATTGTTCACCGATCCATTACTGTACATTAGT